GGGCCGGACCGGAAAACGGCCCCGCGGGGATTCGAGGAGCAGCTGTCTCTGCTGCGTGTCCGGGACCGGGTAACGGCGTCTGCTTCCCAGCCGCCTCCGTGGTTTGGCTCCTAGGGCCAGGCAGGTGCTTTAGGAATGCAGAGGGAACTCTGCCCAGCCTGTGAGCAGGGGACACGCGGCTCCCACGTCCTCCATAAGGTGGAAGGCGTTCTGGGGCAATGCTTACCCACGTCTGCCCAGTTCTGAAAATAAACATGTTGGGAAATCAACACCTGCACAACCACGTTCATGGCGGTATTATTCGCAGCAGGCATAACCTTGAGTGTCCATCAAGGGATGAAGAGATAAACACAACTGGTTAGGGTGTGATGGAATATTACACAGCTATGAAAAGGAGGGAGAGAGCTGGGCATGGTGGTGCACGCCTGTAATCCCAGCACTCAGGAGGATCTTGCGAGTTTGATACCAGCCTGGGCTACAAAATCTTTTTTTTTTTTTTTTTTTTTTTGGTCTTTTGAGACAGGGTCTCGCTATGCAGTTCAGGGTGGCCTTGAGCTCACTTTTAGCCCAGGCTGGTCTCAAACTCAAAACGATCCTCCTGCCTCAGCCTCCTGAGTGCTGGGGTTACAGGCATGCACCACTACGCCTGGCAATCAATTGCTATTAAGCTCTATTCTCCATTAGCTCTTTTGAAAAATACACTGTTGATTACAGATGGGCCATTCATACTATTTTAATTCCAGCTTTTTTCCTCACTGGACATTATAACAACTTTGATATATCACCAGGTTCTCATGTGCTTTATGTATATAATTTAATATAATTCTTCTGATGATTTTAAGAGACATGTCTTTTCATCAGTGCTGGAGATGGAACTCAGGGCCTCACTCATGCTAGGAAAATCCTCTACTACAGAGTCACACCTCCAGCCCCTTTTCTTGTTTTGTTTTGAGACAAGAGTCTGGTTAAATTGCCCAGGCTGGTCTCAGTCTTGAGACCTTCCTGCCTCAGCCTCCAGAGTAGATGAGATTATAGGTATGCACCACTCCACCCAGCCACACCTTTTTTTTTTTTTTGTACTGGGACTTGAACTCAGGACCTTGCATTTGCCAGGCAGGCACTTGTACCGCTGAGCTATATCCCTGGCCCTACACAGGTATTTTTTAATACAATAAAAGATAAAATTCACCTCATCAACCATTTTAAAGTGCACAAGTTAATGGCATTTAGTACACTCAATGTTGTATAACCTTTACATCTGTCTAGTTCCAAAACACCGCATCACCCCAGAAACACTGTCCCTGCCCCAACCCCAGCCCCCAAGTCCACTTCCTATCTCCAGGTTCACCTGTCTTGGGTGTTTCCTGTCCATGGAGCCCATGCTGTGTGTGCTCTATGTCTGGTGTCTCACTGAGCATGGTGTCCCCAAGGTTCGTCCATGCTGTGGTGAGTGTCACAGGCTCACCCTTTTCCTGGCTGAGTAATATTCCAGTGTGTGGATGAACCTGGTTGTGTCTGTCTGTCTGTCCATCCATTTGGGCTATTTTCTCATTTTGGCTGTTGTGAAAAGATACATAGTTTTTCATAGCTACATGAAATTCCTCCAATGCAATGTAGCTCAGCAGTGAGTGTTTGCCTCCCATACAGAGGCTCTGATTTCCATCCCATCACCACAAAATAATAATAAAAAGAAATAAAGAAGACTGATTTTTTAAAAACTGAAAGGGCCCTTGGAAATGAAAAGTCTGATAGCCCCAATGTCAACAGGCAGGTTGCAGGAAAGCATAAAGGAGAAGGCACCAAAAGTAGGATGAAAAGAAAAAGGTAAAAGAAGCCGCCAAACCAGGCGTGGTGGTGCATGCCTGTGATCCCAACACTTGGGAGGCTGAGGCAGGAGGATTGTTGCGAGTTTGAGACCAGCCTGGGCTACAAAGTGAGCTCAAGGTCTGAACTGCATAGCGAGACCCTGTCCCAAAAAGACAAAATAAAGAAGTGGCCAAGGAACAAGAGGATCAATCCACATGAGGGAGAGAAGCACTGGAGACATAAGAGAGAACAAAGACGGAAGAGTGGAAGAAATAATCACCAGTGACATCACTGAAGAAAGCTTGCCTAGCTGGGTAAAATGGTGCAGGCCTGTGATCCTGGCATTCGGCAGGCTGAGGCGGGAGGATCATGAGTTTGAGCCCAGCCTTGGCAACTTAGCAATTTAGCAGGACCTTGACTCAAAATAAAAAAGGGCTAGGGATGTAGCTCAGTGAGAAGGCCCTGAGTTCCACCCCAGTCTGGCCAAAAAGAAAAAGAAAGCCACTTCCTCCAAGCTCTAATGCACCTGGTTTACCTCTAGCTACTAGGAAGGACCCCAGCAGGCACATTCTTGGTATTGACAGCACAGGGTGTGGTTGGAAAACCACAGAGTAGGCAAAGGTTGTGTTTATTTATGGTCTGCTGGGAAATTCTGCAGGAGGTTAGCATGGTAGGGTTCTTCCGGAAAATCCTGGCTGTTACAACTCAAGCTGGCTGCTGTCATGTCAGGCTGAGCGCCTGCAATCAGTCACACAGGCAATGATTTCTCTGGAATCCAGGGAATTGCACATTCCTTAAATATCAGAGCAAACCAAGGGGTAGGAGCTACATTGCAGAGCTCCCTGTGTGCTAAAAAAATA